AAGCAGATATTAGAGAGTCTATATAGTAATCATTGATTGGGTCCACTCCTACTTTGACCCAAGGACGCTGCAAAGTACCTCAGAGCAAGGAGTTAATTCCTGTGTGGAAAAGATCATTCTTGGATATCTGGAGAATACCTTTTAGTCACAGTAATGTTTTAATATTGGCAAATTAAATACATCCCCTCTAACATTTTATCAAATAAGGAGAGCAAAGATGTATGGGGTAATTTGAAGATTGTTAAGCAATGTTTTAAACAGTATTCATGTCTGCTCACAATATCTACTGCATTCCCAATCAATTTGTTGATTATTTCAATATATTAATTTCACCCTTGCATGGCACTATAATTTTGAGTCTGCCTGCTTGCTTGTCTATTGTTTTTCTCTCTCTGGTTCTTTTATGGTGGGGTGGTTCCTATATTGTCTGGACAAATATTCCTTGAATCAGCTTACATTATAGTATTGCCCTCTCCTTTCTTAGGCCTGGCTATCTTCCAAAGTCTTTGCTGTTCTATTCTGCTCATTCATTCAAACAAACTTACCTAATCATTTTCAGTTTCCTTGAGTACAGATTAATTCAACCAATCATTATTAACAGCTTTACCAAACATAATAAACCCAACACAAACATCTATATTGTACTATGGATTGCCTCCCTTATTAAGTTGCAAATATGTTATTGTTTTAAAAAATGGCTTTATATTTTTAGGATTTTAAAAGATTCCAGAGGTAGCCTTAGATGCTTTTTGAATTTGCTTTGCAGTATGCTGCTTCGTACAGTATTGTTTTCTGTTCCGTTTCCTTTCATTCTTGCTTGAAAGTGTACCTTGAATAAGTTATGAATTACGATACAGTATCTTCACCTTAAACTCTTCTCATCTGTTCCACAGCTACATTGCACAATGAGCTCTCAGTTTCTTGCTGTATCTTCTATAACTGTGTCATCTAATAAACCTAATGGAGATTAAAGTTTATCTTGAATAATAATAATAATGGCACCGTGTTTACATTTGTGTAATCTTTTGCAATTATGTCAAAATGATTGGTTCATTTGGACAAGACTGCTGGTGACTGTCATCTGGAGTCAACTAATCCCCCCAACACTGTCAAATTATCTACTAAGACTGTATTACTATTCTTCTCTTCCTTCCTAGTACCTATCTCTTTCCACTTATGACTATAACCATGTTGCCTGTATCCGTGACCCGTCAAAACCGCACTCGACTAAGCTGCGCCCGATTAAACCGCGTCGCTGACGNCCTCAGGGAAAAGGGCGGCATATAAATGTTCAATAAAATCTAAATCTAAATCTAAATCTATATGAGCTACAGCTGACAACTAAAAAAGATCTTCCTTGACAAATGCCACTGAATAAAATTACTTTTACCATGTACAGGAGTTATATTTAGTGTGTGACCATTCTGTACAGAAAACAATCTATAACTGTTAGTGGAAACAGTCTGATCAAAAATGTCATCAGTTTTTTCAACAATCCTGGAACAGCTCTTAAACAAATTTTCTGAATTTCGTTAGTAAGTTTTGTTCAACTTTTGGATAACTGCTTTTTCTGGTTTCAAAAACACAACTGTCAGGGATGTGAATCAAGAAATTGATTGGACAATTTCCTTGTTTCTCCATTGTTAAATATAAAATAATTCTTAATGAAGTAAACCTGCAACACTAGAAATGTTGGAAAAACATTTTTGCATTCATGGGAATGACTGGTGGCAAGATTGGCTGGCAGACGAAAGGCTGACAAGGAACCCACCAATCAGTGTCCTATGGTATTTTACATTTAATTGGAGTAGCAGCAGAGGTGGTTCCTAATAGGGAGTAACTCATGCCTCTGAACTGGTTCTATTGGCAGCGCCTATCTTGTTTTTTGCTTCTGTGCATGCAGAGAAGCAATTTTTTTCACGTGTCCCTGAGTGAACCAGCAGTCAAAGTATCCAGAACTCACCCCTGAGTAGCAGCACTGACCAGTCTCATTCTCAAGGCATAGAAAAGTAGAGTCCTTTATATTGATATATTTTCCTCCTATCTCAATGATGGAAAGAAAACGCACCACAGTTGCTGGTGGATGAGCCCACAGAATGTGTTCAGAATTGTTCAATAAAATTTCATTCCCAAATACTGAAATATCGAAAATTCCACCATTTGGTAGATTCTTCCAGAATCGCTGAAAGAGTTTCTGATCAGTGTGTTTGCACTGTAAGAATCTTATAGTGAAGATTACTGTTTTTATAGCTGTCAAGTAGAGCTGAAGGTCATTCCTCAACATTAAGAACATGTTTGATATAGCAAGCGGACTATTTCCTGGCAAGCTATCCTTTTATTAAATGACTGTTTCTCCTTTCTCTTGTGGATGGATAACTTGCTTGAGTCATCTGGCCTTTTACAAAAGATAAAGACATTATTCATCATTTCTGCTCTCTTCTTCTGCCCTCTAATTCTACACAATGTGGGATAGTATATTATTTGGACTGAGTTGCAAGATGTTCTTACAGAATAGAGTTGATTATTTCTGAAATTTATTACTTTTCTATAAAGTTAGGAAAGCAACTGCTTTCCAAATTTGCTGGATTCAATACCTAGAATTCTCACCCTATCTGGGCCAAACCATGGGTTTTCAAACTGTTTCAGACCATGGAACCTGTTAAACAGGAAAAATCCCAGAACTCCTGATCAAGAGGCAGTGATGGACAACAACTGCATTCAAATTAACTTTTTGTTATCTAAGTCTCCTATGGCAACCTATAAAATTCATTGCCTTGCACTGGATAAAACAAAGGTGGGATATAAATCTAATAAATAATTCTTGTGGAATCCTTGGAAAAACTCCTGATCCCAACAAGAATCCATTTGGTGGTTTTGAGATCGTGAAAGGCACTGTATCATATATGGACCATAGTATGCTATTGAGGACACGAGAAATCAAAATTATTTCAAGAGTGCTATGGGTTGCTTCCAAGTCTCTAGCTATTTGAGTCTTGCTTCCTTGTACCCTCCATCACCTTAGAGGTAATAAAATAATTATGATTATGTATATTGCTCAGAAGTGATATTCAGCCGGTTTGCACCAGTTTGCGCGAAACGGTAGTAGAAATTTGGCCTGGGTCACTGAACTGGTAGCGATTGCTGGCTGGCCACGCCCCTGAACTGATTGTGCAGTCACTGCTTGCTTGCCCTGTCTGCCCGCTGCTCGTTCTGCCTGCCCACTCGCTTGAAACTCACTTGCTCACCTCACCCGCCTACTCACCCCGCATGCCCTCTTGCTTGCCCTGCCCACCCGCCAAAAACTACTGCAGATCAGCTTGCTTTCTAGAGTATGGACCAGCCACTGTGGGAGGAAGGTAAGCAGCCTGAATAAAGAGTGGTGTGTATGTGTGTGGGGTGGGAAGCGGTGCTAGGGCCGGGGCTGTTGAAGGAGGGGAAATGGGACGACGCATGCAACTGGCGAAGAGAGGGCGGGGAGGCATGCAGGAGGAGGCCTTTGACAGATTAGGCCAAGCCTGGGCAGAAAATAGGTAGAAATTCAAAATAAATTCCTATCTTTTTCTGTGAATGTGGCTTGGTGGTGGGGGATCATGTGACTGAGTGGGCATGGGTGTGACATCAAGTTGGCCATGCCCACTCAGTCACATGACCCCCCCTAGCCACGCCCACAGAACTGGATGTCTGTCAGAAGTCAATCATTTCTTGTCCATACAAGATTTGAGTTATTTCTATCAATGTCATCTTGCACAAGAGTATCTGATAACGCTTGTGCAATAGCAGAAAGTGGTAACTTATGGCCAGTCTCGGTATTTACTTCTTTGTCACAGTTTCCATCGTTCAATCTAATGTTCAATCTACTCTAGTAACTGGATTAAACAACTTTTATTGTGCAAATCCAATACGCTGAACTGGCATCTAGGAGATCTAGGTTCAGGTTTACAGAAGCTCACAATATCACTTCAGACTGGTTGATTTCTTCAGTCCAGCCTACAAGAGAGTTTAAAGTTTCCAGTAGCCTTCCTATGACCTCCTAGTTGGGGTCTGTGACAATTCGTCACAGTCAACTCGCCACGACCAAGTCACCATGGCTAACTGGTCACAGCCATGTTGCCATGGCAACTCACTGCAGGACCTGCCATGGCTATCTTGACACAGGACAACTCGCTCTGGAACAAGAATTACCCTAATATCGAAGAAATGGTGGCACAGAATCATTAAAGGATGCAAAAGGAGGGATAGAAAGAAAAGTAAATGGCAAACATTAAAATAATTTTATTTATTTTAAATAATTAAATAGAATTGTTAAATTGTCCCGCAGTGAGTTGACTTGGCAAATTGGCCATGACAAGTTCTTCCATTCCATCCTAGTTGTGTTTTTGTATATGTGTGTCTTTAGAAATCATATCGCCTATTACATTTCACATTTTTTCTATTAGAAAGGAGGTGTTAAATTATTTTATCCTCCTCATATGCAAATACTTAAAACGAATAACAGTGTTACTCATTCAGTTTTACTTCAGATCACCTGTACACATTCCTCTACCTGGTTTTTCCGCTGCTCTGCAACACAGGTTGTATATATATATATATATACCTCTATTACCCAACTCAACGTAGGTACGAGTAGCTGGTCTGATGCGCAAGTGCACCCAAACACCATATTCTAAAGCCAGCGGGATTATTTCTATGATTGGTTGGAGTCGGGAAATGAAAACACGGGTCATTTCTCCTAAGGACGTCGCACTGTTTGGTAAAGAGCCGCTACTCCGGTATCCTTTTAACGAGAGCTAGGAAGCTCGGCGTCCTTTCCTGGCATTTCTGAGCACACCCACGCGCGTCGCCATCCCTCTGCCAAGACCCGCTGAAAAGGAGGAGGGGGAAAGGGGCCTCGCTCGCTTGCTCCCGCTCGACTAAGGGAGGGAGGATGACTTAGCACTGAATCCGACTCCGGCAGGCAGGCAGGCAGGCAGGCGGGCTTTACGCTTCCAGGTCTTGTCACAGCCCGGCCGGCCTTCACCGAGCAAGACGGGTGGGCGGGAGCGCCCGCGAGGCGTTGAGGGAGGGCGAGACTGCACAGCCACAGAAGGGAGGGGGAGAAAAGGGCCCAGGAGCCGCCGAGCGTCGCCGCCTTTTCCCGGGCTTCGCGAAAAGAAAGCGGGCGACGCCGCCACCACCACCACCGCCGCCGCCTTCCCTTCCGAGCAGCCCGCCGTCACTTTCCTCCCTCCGTACACCTCCCGCGTGCGCATTTTCTTCCTGCGGCGCGCCCCGAGCTCACTTAAAACTCAGGTGGGTTTTCTCTCCCTTGCCGCCGTCGCTCTCTTTTCCAGGGGCTTTGCGCGGGGAGTACCGGGCAGGGTGAGTGGATGGGGGGGACGGACGGCGAGACTCCTTTGCCTTGGTTTATCTAACCCTGCTCAGGGGAGGGGAAGGTGGGTTTAGGATTGAAACCATCAAGGGGAGGATGCCACATCCAGTCCCCCCTGTCAGAGGGGCTGCAGCAGCTGGAGGGAGGACGCCTTGGCTGCGGATAACGGGAGCGTCGTATCGCCGCAAAGCAGCACCGAGCCGGGTCTAGAGGCCGTTTGCAGACTTTGTGACAATGGCCGTGTGCGGACGAGGCGGGGGGGGGGGCAGAGCAGAACTGCGCACAGGCCGGCGAGCCGGACAACTGCGGGGCTCCGGTTCCCGTTGGGTTAGGCAGAGTAGCCGCTGTAAAAGGTTGGCTCCTGTCCACACCCATCAGAGTCAGGAGGGTCTGCATTCTTGGGCGCACGCTGCTGACTGCGGGGGAAAGGGTGGTTTGTGCGGGTACGTGGGTCTCGGAGCCCGCGGGAAAGTGCGGGTTTGTAGTTCCCTTCTCCTACAGGACTTGCATGCTCCTGGGTGCCAATAGAAAATAACGCTGCATTTTAAAACATAGTCTACTTTTTAAAAAAACAACAACAACCGGATAATATGTGTCCTTAATTCTCTCATGTTGCAAATGGATAAATAATACGGGGGGGGGGAAAGAGTTTTATTTTATTTTTCACCCTCCCCTGGTTTTGTAGGCAGGGCTCAGTCTCCTGCATAGCTGGAGCTGCTCTGCATTAACGATGTCATCAGAGAAGCTGGGCCTGCCTGGGAAGGGTACTTTTCCTTGCATAATGAGGAGGGGAAAAAAGCTGCATGCTTCAAGAGCTGTGCTATGATAAACCTATAAATGAAGCTTAAAAACTTGGAACTGACATCAGGGCACGATGTTATATAACTCAGTGGTGGTGAAATGAAATAGAATGAAAGAGCTTGGAAAGATCTTTTTGTGTTATATGGAGGGGGGGGAATCAGGAGGTTTTCCCATCACATACAGTATCATTTTGAAATGTGTGGCAAATGAATTGTTTCTGTATGTTGGAGAATAGGAATCCCAAGTTTTGATAACAGCAGACATACTTTCTTAGATTTCAATTAATGAGAGAAATTTATTTTACTTTTCATTTGCTCAAACTTGTGGAAAACATTAATATTTCATATGGCTTAAAAATGTTTTACCAGTGCTACTGGTAAGATGCTGTAGGGTAATATTAAATATGTCTATCAGGTTATAGTAATATGGTAACATAAGAAGAATATCTGTGTTGTACTTTTCACAGTAAAACACATTTCCAAGGTCGACAACAACCTGCAGCCGCAGCTTTCATTTAGCAATCTGTCATCTGTAAGATAAGGTGCCTGAGCCACCTTGGAAGATTATATTTACAGTGGTTCCTGAATGGAGTCTGAAAATAATTGAAATACTTTATATCTTACTTGCCACATATTTAAAAAAATACTGACAGTAAGTTAAAGGTGCTAAAACTGCTAAATTCATTGACTATTAAAAACTACAGTAGCAGAACTTTAGTGAAAATCTACTATGTAAATTACAAGACTGATAAAGGCTGTTATTCTCTGGTTAGCAACAGGATGCCACTAGCTAAAAGATAAAGCAGTTCTTAGTAGCAGGTTTCTCTTCTGCTTGGTTTGAAATAGTTGTGTAACATACGTACATAGGCTATATATTTGCTCATATTTCCAAAAGAAGCTGATTTCAATGTTGTTTCACTAAGTGATAATTTCCTTGACTTTCAGAAACTGAATTGGAACAGGGAAGGGAGCAGATTAAAATGAAGTTGCTGAACAATTTTATTTCAGGATAAATTGACGCAAGTAAGAAATTTAAATGTACATTGTGGTTCTGTGCAGGAAAAAAAAATCAAACTATGTGCTGAGTAGGAGAATGGAAATGAAAATACTGCTACCACAGCTTCTCTGTATCCATTCATCTATAACATTTTTAGGTTGTTGTAGCATGACTCTCTTCCATAATAGAGCAAATGCTCCAATCTACTTCAGGAGTTTAGAAGAAAGATGCACACTGTATGATCCTGCCCACAGAGTTTTAATGCTGTCATTGCAGGGAAGCAAAAATGTTGCTGCCTAATTGCATTTTAATGGTCTTTGTGATGGAATGACTTTTTAAAAGTTATAAATATATTTGTTTGATTAAAATGTTTTGCTTCTGAGCATTATTTCCAATGTTAGTTGTTAATATTTGTTCAAATGTATATTTATAATAACTAATGTGTTTAAATTATATGGTGGTGTAAGAAGTATAATTTAAAATAAGTAGATTAGATCTTTTCTAAACCAGTTGAAAGTGTGTTAACCCACTTGCAGAATGAATGCAGAAGTTAACATTTAATTTTGTATGAATGCTTTTAGAATGTGTTACTAGAATGAGAATGTGATGAAAAAGACATTAAAAACATAACTCATTAAACAAATTAAAACAAAAAGAAAAATACCAAACTGAAGGTAAAATCAATTCAAATTGTTGGAATAACATTTTATATTATTGTTTGCATTTAAGAGATACATGTGCAATTTCTTATACTTGAACTGAAATCAACACACACACACATACACACAAACACACTCACTCACACACTATTAGAGTTGTGAGTTTCTTAATGGAAAAGCCAAAATGTAACTGAATGTACATGTTTTTTAATTTGATTTGATTTGTGTTCTACTTTCCCTTTTAGGCGTGCCAGTTTGGTACATAGTAATGGTTAAAGCTACTGGGGGGCTGTGAGGTTTAGGTACAAAGAAAACCACTTCTGAAAACCTTGGCAAGAAAATTGCATGGACTCATTCCTGCATTCGCCAGGAATTAGGAGTGACATAATGACCCATTACAACTTCCTTCAGGAGCTGAAGATCCATGTATAGTACTTCCTCTCTCCATTTTTTCTCTACAACAGTCTTTTTAGGCAGGTTGGGCTGAGAGACAGAGCAGCCCAAGTCCAGTTTGTGCACAATGCAGAAAAAAAACTTTTTGAAGATTAAATGCTCTTAAAATACAACTGCATTTGATTTATAATGCATTTGATTTCTAGCTTTAATGTTGCAGTAAAATTTTGGAAGCTTTATTTGCCCAATATTTTATTATGTTCAGAACTCTGAGACTAACTGAATTTAGATTAGATTATTTTTTTTAAATCATAAAACTAGTTTACATAGAAGGTTAGAGAACACATGATATCCTTCTACTTTAATTAATGCAATTTATTGCTTTTCATGAAAATAACATCAGAATTGTTTACTATTGAGAAGAATGCAATAAAAACTTGACTGTAAAGTAATGAAGGGTACAGAATAATTAGGAACAAAATAATTAAGTCAGGTAAAAGAAAAAGGGTGAATGTATAACACTAGAGAAAATAGTTCTTTCCTGGTCCCTCTCCATCTTGCTTCTGCTGATTAGAACATAATCATGCCTAAAGATTTGCAATTCCTATCCCATGTGCCACTGCTTCCGGTGCCTGGTTGTGAACCTGTACAATTGTGTTATTCATTGCTTTGCATACTGATGACCTCAAATTCATCCCTGGCATCTCTGGGTTGAGCTAGAAAACTGTCTGAATGCCAGTTCTAGTCAATGTCAAGTAGACTGAGGCAGCAAGCATCTTATGTTCCTATAGTAGAATCATGATCTGTGGCATTGCAGGTAGGAGGGATGAGCAAGGAGGCTTTGACTCTGTAGACTTCCCAAGTGCTACTTAGTAGAGCATATAATGGAAAGAATATTGCAGAAGTGAAGCTTATGGATTCCTGAGTTTTAAAGAAACAGATCAAAAGCACACTCTTTCTGCATACCTGTAAATTAACTAGTTCGTTGTTCATGACAAATGGACAACACTTGTATGTTGTATGTAAGAAGAAATGGGTGGAGAATTTTGCGGTGAATGGGTTATTCTGTTATGGTAACCTATCTACATATTAACAGCTACATAAGCTTTAATGTAGGAAACAGGCCAGTCCCCCACAAGTGTTTGGGTTTCTTCAAAGTGCAGAAACAGATACTGATCCCCAACTCTAGCGGGAAAATGACTCCATACAGCAGGTTCTAAAATAATTATTACAGTTAATTTGGGATAGATAATGAACTGTCTTCCTCAAAATTAACCCTTAAATGTCTTCCTCATTGGCTATGAAAATTGTGAAGGATGCTTCTTTTCTTCAAGAAGAAAAGGGTAAAGAAGCTTTGCAGAAAAGACTAATTAAAATAAGAATGTATAATTTCCTATGAGTAAAAATATTATAGAGTGGTAAGTGATGAAGCAAAAGTTCTTTAAGCATTCTCAGCCAGTTTCAATATACAAGCTTACATAGCAAACCAACATCGCTTATCACATTATCCCTGTTGTGGGGATGATGCTTACAGATATGCTTTGATGGGAGGTCCTCATTTATTATTTCCACAGTTTTAAACTGGAGATAGGAAACCCTTGCATATAATCTGTTGATATATAACACAATAAACACAGTTTGTTCTGGACACAAAAATTAGTCACAAGGTCAGCTGACTAGTCTTAATCTGTTTTAATATCAGGATTTCATTTGTGGCAAGAGATTCTGAGGGAGATCTGTCTATGTACCCACAACATGAATATCTTCTCTGGGAATCTTTTAGAATCTATTGAAGAAGTAGAAGGATGGTCTGAGTCAGAACTATGGCTATAGGCATTTCAGCTGGGGTGAAGTGTTGCAGCTGTTCCTGGAGATGACAGATGGAATAACTTGTGCTGTGGTGGGCTTTCAGGAGTCCCATTGGTAGCATGTTTCTGGTCTGTGCGAGATAAAAAGCAGACATTTTGAGTCTCTCATTTCTGCTTCCATATAAAGAGGTTGGATTTCTGATATGTATTAATAACCTGCCAGCATTAATTGAAGACATAGACTTTGAGGGCCTAAAATCTCACCGGCTCAAGGTTGACTCAGCCTTCCATCCTTCTGAGGTGGGTAAAATGAGGACCCGGATTGTTAGGGGCAATATGCTGACTCTGTAAACCGCTTAGAGAGGGCTGAAAGCCCTATGAAGCGGTATATAAGTCTAACTGCTATTGCTATTGCTAAAGTGGGAAATTATAAATTTATTATTATTTCATTGGATAGAATAATATAATTGATCAAATATTAACTAAGTACTAATGTATGAATAATTTTGAAATTAAAATGATTTTATTTAGGAATTAAAGATTATTTCCCTCCAAACTTCATTGTTAGATATAGTTCATTTTTAAAAAGTGTCTACTGGAGTGAAATCTTACATGATAATTAGATCCTTCTTTCACTAATGAGTAGATACCTTTTCTTTATTTGCGTATTAGAATACATATAGCTTTATGAAGCTAGTACACATTGCCCCCCCCCCCCCGATTTTCTGGAGTAAAATGTCATATTAGTTGCACATAGTAGGACAAAGTAAAGAGATTTACTGTTGAGTTTTCACTTCTGTACTATCAGTTGTTAACCGTGTTGAACATTTTTCATGAACCTTTTTTCACTGCCTCTTGCATGTGATAAATTTTTGACAGACATTTGCTAGATAGATAATGTTGTCATGTAATGTCAGACAATCCCTCAGGAAACATTTTATCTCCAACTAAAATGCAGAAGAGTAGAAAGAGGCAATGGCTTCCAAGGTCCAGTAACTTCTATTACCAGGCTAAAAGCAAGTATATAGTAACTATATAGAGCCAGTTTGGTCTAGTGGATAAGGCATCAGGCTAGAAATTGGGGGACTGTGGGTTCTAGTCCCTTCTTGGACATGGAAGCCAGCTGGGTGACTTTGGGCCAATCGCTCATGTCAGCCCCACTCACCTCATAGGGTTATAGTTGTGGGGAAAATAGGAGGAGGAAGAAATATTATGTATGTTCACCATCTTGAATTGTTTATAAAAATAATAAAGGTGAGATATAAATGAAATCAATTATTACTCATTTATATCCCTGAGATATTTGGGTACTTTATGTATCCTTGCTGAAAGCCCTGCAGATATGAACTTTAATTATTCTGTAGATGTAATTTCAGTTTTTTTCAGACTGGATAAGACAGAATATATGGCCCCCTTTCCCTTCCCTGATATATTTTCTCTGCCCTATAACATATCAGCAGCATGCCAGACTAATCTCTCATGTTCCACTATTCCCACTGCAATCTATGTGGCCAGAAGAAAACAGTCAAACTAATTTTTTGGAGTACAAAGTACGCCATCTAATTTATGCTAATAAATAAAAGTTGTACTATGTTTTAATATTAGGGGTACATGATTGAAAGGGAGGGGAGCTAGTTTTGTTGAGGCAATTAATCCTGCTTTAATGCGAGAATTGTTTTGCTTTACAAATCACCATGAGGTATTAGAATGTTGTATTCTGCTGTTAAAATAAAAATACATGTGGATTAGAAACTTTTGTGAGGGATTGGGCTAAGGATTTTATTTAGAAGCAAGCATGGTACATAATAAAATCTCTATAATATATTCTCCCAGTGTTAAGGAATAATGTTTAGAGTTCTTCACAGACCACTTTGGTTTTCACTGTTGAATTCAATCTAGCCTCATGTGCAGACTTCATAATTACATAATACCTTAATGTATTTTCCTTTCACATATTGAAATATTATACTCTATACGCAGTGAGAATATTTGAGTTCTCTTGCTTGAGTCTGCATTAAATTCTACAGCTTGCAAAACATATTCACTTGAAAATAAGTGTATTTAAGCTGTTAAATCTTAAACGCTTGGGTGTATCCTACTATTTGTAACAGCAAATCTTTTCTAGATAGGAAAAAAAAGGGTGTTCCCCTATGGCAGATGGAAGAA